GACCAGACCCGGACTGGCCAGAACGGCTCCTGTCGTTTAAGAAAGACGCCATCGTCGCAAATTCAACCCTCTGCAAGGCGGCCATCAAGCACGGTCTCGACAGATTTATCCTCACCAAGCCCTTCACGGGACAGAAGTGGCGGCCAATTTACGTGGAGGACGTGCTCCAGCACGGCGAGGAGCCTACCACGAGGAAAATATCCACCAAAACGCTCGCAGATATCGTCGAAGCACTGATCGGGGCCTCGATGATTGACGGCGGTCTCCCTAAAGCACTAAAGTGCATGTCTATCTTTCTCCAACAGATCCAATGGAAGACCCTAGACGACTGCAGACAGGCCCTTTACGACGTCGCTCCCTCTGGCGTGCAACTCCTGTCTACCCTTGAGCCCTTGGAGCAGCTCATAGGCTACGAGTTTAAAAAGAAGGCCCTGCTGATCCAGTCCATGACCCATGCCTCCTTCAGCCTCGGCAACACCCTGGGCTGTCTGGAACGTCTCGAGTTCATCGGCGACTCCGTCCTCGACTACATCATCGTCAACCGCCTCTTCTCTATCGAACCTCCTCTCCCACATCAGACGATGCATCTCCTCAAGACAGCAATGGTCAACGGCGACTTTCTCGGCTTCCTTGCTCTAGAGCAAGCAGTCAGTCAGGACGAGGTCGTCATAACAGGGACCGACGGCGGCAACAAGAGACCCGAGCTGCAACACACGCGCTTCGCGCTGCCCCTGTGGAAGTTTATGCGCCACCAATCCCCCGCCATTGGCCTCGAGCAGCTCAATGTCACGAAACGGCACGCCGCGCTCAGGGACGAGATGGTCGAGGCGATGGAGCGCGGCACGACATACCCCTGGGCCCTCATGGCGCGCATGCAACTGCGCAAGTTCTACTCTGATATATTCGAGTCCCTTCTCGGCGCCGTGTACGTCGACTCCGGGGACCTGGACGTCTGCGCTGGTGTCGTGGAGCGGTTTGGGATCTTGGCGTACCTTGATCGCATTTTAAGAGACGGCGTGCATGTGTTGCATCCCAAGGAGGAGTTGGGTCATTTGGCGGACAATAAGACTGTGACGTACGTTTTGGACGTGCAGGATGTCGAAGATGGTGAGAAGCGGTTCTCGTGCAAGGTCATGGTTGGCGAGCGGTGCGTTGTCGAGGTTGACGGTGGGATTTCTAGAGACGAGGTCAAGGTTAAAGCCGCGGAGGCGGCGGTAAGAATACTCAAGGCGGAGAAGTCTGCAGCAAAACAAGAGAGCATGGACGTACAGGAAGATGAAGATGTGGTCATGGGATAAGAGGAAAACGGTTAGAAAATGTCGGTATGTCACGGACACAAAGGCAGAAGAAGGATTTTGGCAGACTGGAAAAGCAATCAATTCTTATTTTGATGTTTCGTGTAAGCAAATTTGCGTTTGATTTCCCTTTTCCGAACTGACTGCCTATCGAGAGGTGGGATAAAGTGCAACAAGAGGGTATAACTGGCGCTTTGCCCCTGAACTCCTGATGAAAGAAACGATAAGCTGCTCGCATTAGAACCATGAAGAGACTGGCATTCTCAACTTTCCAGTCTGAAGATACTCCCATGCTTCCTGACTGCGGCTGGAAAAATCATAAGGTCCCTGAAGCTTGGCTTAATACAAACCGAAATACGCCATTTGGCCCTGAAAGCAAAGTTGCGCCGAAAATTGAGGGTCATGCTCGTGACATCGTTCTCTGCGGACTGGCGAAGAACAAGTACCAAGGAAGTACATTCAAGAAAGAAACTCATACGCCTAGTCGTCGGTGAGGTCAATAGCCTCCCTGTTGGCGTCGATCTTGATCTTCTTCCATTCGCGTTTGGCAGGCTCCTCGGTGAGGTCGTAGATCTCAGCAAACTCGCGTTTGATGGTAGGGCCCTTTCTCTCTAGCTTGACGGTGCCGGATCGACGTCCATTCTGCCCTACTTTAGTCTTGGGTTCTCTACACAGCGGTAAGGCTGAAACTCACGTTAATCTCGTCCAGACGCTCCGCAGCTAGCCGTCTGATATCGGCCTCGGAAAGCTCGTCAATGGCCTCGGGACTTGGAGACCGAGGAATGATGAGCTCCTTTTGCAATGCATCTGAGAAAGCGTGAGCTAAGTAAGCAGATAGCCGGCTTGCAGATCGCCTCATACCTCTGGAACGGTATTTGAACATGAAGCACGCCATAGGATTACCGCCGTTGAGATATTCAGCGCACACTGACTTCCTCTTGGAAACAAATCCACCGTCAGTGAAGCTATGGAGCATGTAAGCACAGGCAGAATTGTCGCATGGCGAGAGGATGCAACTCACGAGGTACCGTGAGAGACGGCGCGGCCCTTGAGCGCCTTTTCCGCAATGTTGAAACTGGAATTCTGATTATCGCGATAGTGCTCGTGGCCTGACGAGTACGAAGGCCCTGTAATGGTCAAGGGGTAGACAAAGACCTCGATGACGCCGAGAGACTTTGCTTTCTTGGAGTCTCCCTCGACGCGCTCCTTGGTGGCATCGTCAACTGAGACGCATGTCAATACTCAGAACACATACCCATGGCGCCGCCAAGATATGACAACTTTACCAGTAGTGACTTGGGAGAACTTGAATTTGCTCAGACGATCGTAAGAGGGGTCTCTTGAGCTTCCTCGAGAACCCTCAACAACTGTGCTCCATTTGTAGAATGGATCGAATGAGTTGAAGCGACTCGCCTCGCAAACGACACTATCCATGCGCTTGCCATCGACATATAAGTAGAGTGAGAAGGCGCTTTTCGGGCTCTCCCACCGGTGCATGTGATTAACCTCGTACTTTACCGTGAAGCAGGTGTCATCCTTGGACTCAATGTATTTGAAGGTACGGTGGGTTGCGTGCTTGCGGTTGACGTCGTTCTCAAAGCCATCCGGGTCGTCGTACTCAACAGCTTCCTGGCCATTGACTTGGATGGTGACTTTCACACCCTTGAGCTCGTCGATGACGGCCATCTTGCGTCACAGTCTCGCTAGTCCACTTGAATGACCCGCCGACAGAAAAGAAAGTGGTGGTCCAAGTCGTTCGTTCCGTCGTTGAAATAAGGTAAGGCGTATGTGCGGTGATGAGAGAAAAGTGGAATGTAGTCAATTTGGAATGAGACGTTTAGACCCACGTGAAGATGGGGAGGAAGAAGGTGCGAACGCGACTGAAAAGGCAATTATTGGGTGGGGGTTGCCTTACACCGATGTGCGCTCGCTGCCTGATTGGCTGTTCTTCATTGTTCAGGCAGAAGTGGGGTACCATGCTGCCAACTGTAAGAGCTGGCAGTTTCCCGATACATCATGTTCATTCGCCAAAGCTTCGTCGATAAGTGCCTACAGATACTGCCAAGCCGAAACAGGCCGCCCGTCTCAAGTTGCTCTAATTTAGGGACGAAAAGAAGAAATCGACGTCTTTACGGTTGGCAAACGGGTCCTTCCCGCATTCCTCCATTGATGAACCATATGGGACGTAGTCTGGTATAAAACCTCGCTAAAAAAAAAAACTCTGGGGCACGCCAGCGGGTAGATCCCCCTGCACCAACGGCCAAGAGTGGACTCGGGCAAGCCACCGACCCATCATCAAGGAAAGTACCAACTCGGAGTGACACAATAGCTTGCCGCTCAATATCTCACCTTTATTTCTCCTATTCCCATCACTGCTCCTGCTCCTGCTCCTATTTTTACTATTATTGCTACTATTATGATTGCCTTTTACTTTCTACACTGTACAATCTGCTTTCGAGAGGGTACCATAATCAATCGATAATATTGATAAATGATAATCTTAGTAGTTTTAAAAATGTACTTAGGTATAAAAGATCGTCATAACGTATGCTAGCAAGCTCTTGAGTAGATAGATTAGGGGAATTTAGAGCAGAACGTGACCCCTATTATCTCGTGTCAAGGCCGTAAAGCAACAAAGTGATGCTTTAGGTATTGTGCGGCGAACAGGGCTCCCTGGATGACATAGTCTGTATCTTCAATACCGGAACTTCGGCGAAAACGAGTATAGAGATGAGAAGATGCGAGAAATTAAGCGAATGTCTGAGCAACAAGTGGTCGAGGCCTTGAGGGAGGTAGACCAAAGACCGCGGGGTCTGGTCAAGGAGTCAAGGCCATATAGACCCCGTCAATCCTCTTCCTGTCACTAGCCACCAGACGCCCGTCTAGGTCAACGGGTCAGGTCAAAGTGGCTGGGTGGTGGAGAGGTTAAGAATTCAACAATAAAAACGGCCACAGCCTACTCGACGACAGTCTACCAGTTCGAAGCCAGCATGAGCATCAAGAGATGTAACCATACCGGTGGTGAAGTCTTTTTCGATGTCGCGAGACGGGCTTCAGTGTATTATATAGATTTGTAAACTTTCATCGATGCACACTGGTGTGTAGTAGGTCACCCACCCGCCTTGACTACCTTTCCGTGCGCTGTTCTTGTTTACCCTTGACTTGTTGTTCACTAACGAGGTGAAGTACTTCGGCTCAAGCAAAAAACTTGACGCGAAGAGGGTCCCCATGGTTCATCTAAGCGTCCTTTGGATGCATGGTCTTGCAAAGCAACCACGCCCTTACCATGGTTACGTTGAAGAGACTCTCATCTTGAGGCACGAAATATCAAACTCGTTAGGCACTTTACTTCGAGAAAGCACGACCGAATTTGGCCGCCTTTAGAGGCTGATACTGGCATCTTCTCGGCAGGGTTGCCTGATGCTTCACCGGGCTTGCTACTAGCCCCCCAATGCACCTTCCCCTTTTACGGACTGGACTCCTCGCCCTGGAATTCCACCCTCCTCCTTCCTTCCACTCTCCTCATTCCTTCCAATCGCCTCCCTCTACCCATAATTCTCCTTCCTCTAGGTACCCATATTTCTTCTTCCTCGCCCAGAAGCTCAGACTTATCTGAACTCACCAGTTTCTGTATGTGAATCGCTTAACTCCAGAGGCCTTACTCGCTTTCCAAACGCCATCCCACGACCAAGACTCGGAGGGACCATGGCTGTGATTGATGGCCTCCCAGAGATCAAGGTCTCCATCCGTATCAACGGATTCGAGGAAGACTGCATCGAGTACGACGATTCAGATCCTCCGAAATCCACGTCATCTCGGGGCTCGGCAACTCATACCACTTCCAAAGTCATCGAAAGTCAGGTCGATGCCAGATTTTCTATCCACTATGAGATTCGAAACCGCCGGTCTTGGATAAATGGCAAGAATTGGCTCGCGTTGGTGCTTCACATTGACGGCCAATACGTCGCCACATATTATCGTGGACCTGGTCAGCTGGTCAATCAAACCATCGTCTCAACCATCGATAGTTTTGGGGACAGGTTCAGCAAACCTGGCAAAGACATCAGAAGGCACTTCAAATTCGCGTCGATCAAAACAGGTATCTCCTCGCTTTCTCATTTTATCGATTCTGAGACGCTGACTTTGATAACGCAGCCGAAGAGAGCAACGAGCAGTTATCAGGAAATCAATCAATCGTGGAGCACCTCGGCATTATCGAAGTGACTGTGTTCCGTGTCGAGCTTGAAGGCCACAAACCCAGGACCCCGGCACAATCGAGAACAGAGAGCATAAGGAATGTCTCTGAAATTGCAATCAAAGGCAAAAACATATCACACAGTACATCGTAAGAAGTTCAACACCTTTATCTGATCATACTGCTAACTGTGTGGTCGTCAGCTTCACTGAAGGAATAGAGAAGAAATTAAGCAAAATGAAGAGAACATTCAAGTCCAGGGATGAAACCCAGCCAATTGCTCGATTCTTCTTCCGATACAAGTCTAGGGGTTCTCTTCAAATCGATGGCATCATTCCTCGAAATCCTGCTCTGAGCCCCTCTCCCGAGTTCTCTGCTCCACCCCCGCCCCAGGCCGTGGCAAACTTGCCGCTGGCAGATATCATGAGACTTGCCCAAGAGCGTCTGGACCAGCTGGAAGTAAGTGATTTCCTACTCAAGGTTATGTCAAACTGACAATTTCATCAGCCTCAAGTCAAGAGAGAGCCTGGAACCAGTGTGAAGCGCGAAGCGGACGAGGAGACCGACTCCCGTCCACGCAAGATCTACAAGGTGGACGCGGATGGAACGATAGACCTTAGCGATGACTGAGGGTATTATGAAGTGTCCGTTTTCAGACTTGAGAGGAGGAGGCCATGTTGGCCAGTGATACGGATGGTCTTTCGACTATATGTGTTAGAACGGGGCGTAAGGATACTCAAGTCGTATTTGTAGTTGTAGAAACAGAACAATGAGGGAAAGCAGTTTCTTCGAATCAAATCTCACTGTTCACTCGGCCATTCATAAGCGTGTGTATGCCTTGCTACTGCTACCTCTCGGCACAATGACGGAATAAGCAGGAGACGGGCCTCGAAGAAGATGAATAAGCAGACCATATATCTTAGTGACAGTGACTAGCCGTGGTTTAACGTGGCTGATGTAACGACTTTGAGCCCGAGAGCACATAGACTACCAAGGAATTCACATACTCTACAGAAAGCAGAAGCCTTTCGGGGGGTTTCTCGCCAGTCCGCTACTAACGGATTATATCACTGGATGTAGGCGTCACCGGAGCAAAGCAGACGCATGGCTTCTCTTTACTCATCAGGCCACAATTTAGCCTCATTTCACACGGTGTGCACAAGAATTCATCACAGGAAGCGTCAAAATTGGTGGCAACAGCTCGTATCTCTTTACCAGAGATGCCAATCTTGCATACGGAATCTACCTACTTGGCCGTTCAAAGTCAACCTTGTTTCCTTTAGTAAGATCGCACGAGTTACAAGTACAGCCGTTGTATCTATCTATCTCTCTCTTCCTTAGCGAGCGGCAGGCTCGTAGGAGTCCGCTCGTCAACATCGATCTCTCATTCGGACCACTCCTTTCCCACTTCGATGCCGAGGAACTTTCACCCCGCGTCTAGCAGCTTCTCTGATCCGAGCCATGACCTCTGATCCTCAGTATGTAGAAGTAGCAAGAAACTCCTTGGGTCTAGAAGGTGAGTCGTCGCCGAAAGCCACCGCAGCAGACCTCTTTCTGTTGAGTTGAGCGTGTTTCGACCGAGTCTCTTGAATCGAGACGGCCTCGTCATCCGGTATCTCTCCCCGAGGCTTCTGCTCCTTCGCGATGGGCTCTGGAAGCTTGGGTCGGATCGGAATGACTCGTTTGTTCAGTTGAGAGTCAAGCTTATCTCCCTTTTTGGGTAATATAGTAGTTGTCGAGGCAGGTTTCGCACCAGCGGTTGTCTGTGTCTGTGCAGAAGCTTCCGGCAGACCACGAAGCTTCGCAGGCAATGAATAGGAGGGTGTCTTGGCGTCAGAGCCTCTGAATCCGCCTCGATCCTGCTTTGAAAGGGCTGGTTTCTTGGACATGTTGATCAAGCCCTCACCGCGATTGCTCTCATTATTGTCCTTGGGTCTGTGTACGGGCAAGTCTCCTGAGCAATGTCAGTCTTGGGGAAAGATGAACTCGATCAGGAAATTTACAGACCTCTTGGTCCATATCTGAAGTTGAACCGGGCGATAGGACGCTCGTAGTTGAGCCGCTTCACGTCGTATGTGTCTGCCGCCAGGGCTTTCTTGACCTTCTTCCCAGATCCCAAGCTGGATTCCGCTGTTATCGAACGTTTTTGGCATGTATGAGAAGGCCGTGCTTGCAACTTACCGTTTGGTCTGAACTGATGACCCATATGCAGTAGTGTCGTCGAGTCGCTGCCTCTCCGGTGCACCAAGTAGCTTGACGATGTATAAATCAACGCGAATGGTACCTCGAATCGCGCTGCCGTCGTTCTTGGCCGCGGCAAACTTGAAAGGCTGTAAGACCTGTCGGCCTTCACTGTTCACTCCTGTAACTCCAAAGAACTCCATGGGGAATCGGCGCGATGCCCGGGCATCGATTACGGTCTTCGTATACAACCGCCGAAGAACCTCATTGTCGTCAAAGTGAATCAGCACCATCAGCCCCTCATCCTTGGCAAGGAGTCGACAAATTCCTGCGCCAAGAGAAGCCAGAATCGAAAATTTCGCTCCCTCCTTGACAGCGATGACTTTGCTGCAGCTGAATGGGGCGCTGTTTTCGAGGCTCTCTGCTGTAACGTCATTTCGTTCCGGGGCTGGAGCACCAGCGACGGTAATCACCACTCGCATGTTGATGTTGAAGTCGAAACCTGCCATCGCTCTAGCTTGCTGAACGAGAAGTATTCTCGTGGCTTGTCGGTGTGGTCGTACTTCTGCAACTCAACCGAGCTTGAGATCGACGAACAAGGCAGGGTTGTGGCTGGAAACGTTCGATTTGCAGCAGTCCAGTATTCAAATTAGCCAGAAAGGCCCTGGGTGTACCTTACTGTAGAGGGGAATCCAGAAATCCCTTCTGCCTTTCATTCTTCGAGTCGTGGGGCATCTGTAGGGTCAAAAATTCGCGGACTGGCTTTGGGTCATGTCTAATTGCCTTGGGGCAGGGGACGAGGCCTGACCGAGCCACCGCATGGTGAAGGAGCCATCAGTGCAGAGATCTATAGTAATAGTACCAGGAATTCGGCTCACTGCGTTTAATAGCACCTCTCTCGCGAAGGTGAGAAGAGACTCTTCAGTATTCGACTCCCTGTTGTGGTTAACTTCGCACCCGAAGTCACATAGAACAACAAAACACCTGCATACTTGAGAACTTTTGTATTTAACACAACTCACGGTGGTTCGGGAGTTAGCTTCCTGATGGACGTGAGTCCTACTGCTCTTCCACCTCGAACCAAGTCTTCTATCAAAGCAATGTCGACTTCCTTTCAACCAAACAATCCCCCTCGTCCGAAATGTCTTCATTTGGGGCCTTCCATTCAGTACAGTAAACTTCGGCCTGTGAATTTACCACCCCAACAAAGGCTTTGTTTGACGAATAAGACTCTTCCAGTGACCTCCATCCTGTGATAATTCCGTCTTTACAACAAACGCACGATCTCCTGGCCTACATCTCTAGTAGCCGCCCGTGAGATCAATAGCGTCATGGCCATTTCCCAGCTTGATAATCTTGTAAGGACGGGCCAACTGCTCATCAGCGCCATCCGTAAAATCACAGAAGTCGTCATAGCTCCGTTTGTTCTTCTGAGCTGAAGATTGCGCTTGCTCATCCTGATGGGGGTGTCAGTCTATGAACCCTTTTAAAGTCAATCATCACCCTACTTGGAGCTGTTGGTGTCTCTCTCTAGCAAGACGCTCGACCTCATCTTCATGAAGGTCCTCGAATCTAGGAAGGCTCGAATTTCCCAAGTAGGCCGGTTTCTGACGGAAGAAAGGCGCCGGGGCAGGCTCAGGGCTGGGGGTCTGGTGAAGGATCTCCTCAATCTTCAGCGCATCTTTATGATAGTCAGCCTTCTTCAATCCAAAGACACGCCTGTTACACATAGACACATACCTCGCGAGCGATACTTGAATGTGTAGGTCGCGAAGAGGGGGCCAGTGCGAATTCGCTCCATCGCTGCTCGATGGGCAAATCTAGGAGGTCGCAGACTCTTGTTCACCGGCGGGGTGAAGCTGCGAAGACATGGTTAGCATGATGGGTACATTCCCAGAAGAAAATTGTTACACACGAAGTGCCATGGTAGATAGGTCGGCCCTTGATAGCTTCCTCGGATATCTCGCACTTGTTGTACTCCGGCTCGCGGAACGGTCTCTCCAAGTTGACCCATCTGTTGCGGCGTGGACCACCAGCGAATCTGGCAAGTCTGACGCGCACCTCGATTGTACCAAGATCCTTGGCACGCCTCCATTCGCCATCGGTAGCGTCTTGGTCAACTGTGTGGAAAGATCAGCATCGAATATTGTTAGCAGTCGAGTGATGCGGTGGATTTACCTGCAGTAATCGTCTGGAACTTGAAGTTACTCTCAACCATGGCAGTTCTATGCTGGTTGGGATGTCTCTTGCCTTTGAAGGCAAAGTGCCAGCCTCCATGTTTGAAGTCATCATCGTAGCAGAATCGCTTTCCCATGAAGTGGCCGTCGAGGAAGAGAAGGAAAACCAAGCCTTCATCGTGATGGATCCAGGGATCAATAGTGGCATCGTCCAAGACATTGACATGAACTGCGAACTCGGTACCTTCCTTACTCTCAATGTAGTTGCGGGCACACTGCTCGTAGTCGTCCATGTATCTCTCATGCTCATGGTACGGATAAGGGTCGGGGTATTCGTCAGCGTCTCGGTAGGCTTTCTTGAGGCGAACTGAAACACTGACAGCGGGAAGGGTATCGATAATGGCCATCTTTGAGGGAAGCCTGATTTGATTCGTGGTGTAGAAGGTGTGATTTTGGAAGCTGTGAGCAGAAATTGAATGATCGTGAAGATTTTGGCGGCAGAAAGAAGAAAGAACAGAGAGAACCACAACCTTGGAACGTTTGCCCTTTGAACGAAATACTGGTAGAAGAATGTGAAATAGTGAGTCCCCTAGAGAAAGGACTGCGGTGGGATCGAGAAGAGAAATGGAAAATAATTTGTGACGTGCCTCTGGTGGAAGAGGGAGAAGTGTGGCCGAGAGAGGATGTGGAACAGGTGGAAGGCTTTGGGGTAGGTGTAGACGAGAAGCCCGTCACTTCCTGATCCATACCTTCCATCGTTGTAGATTCGGCTCCCGCCTCAAGTTGGTGATTTTCCCATGGATAGTAGAAGGTGCGCTTAGCAGGCAGGCACCTGCCTCCTTCCTACTTAAAGAGATATTCCGCGGCCAGCCATGGTAAGGTCTGGAGTGAATGAACTTACGTCTTTTTGAGAACTACTGCAACATAGAGCGTAATAATTATGAGAGAATTCTCAATGTGCAAACGGCATAGATACTCAGATACCTAACGATCAGTTTGATTAGAATCCCTTGAAGGTGTGGTGTTGAGATCGTGTAAGTGACATTCATGAGAGTGGGTACGTACCGCTCCGCTTTCCGTCCTTGCCGTCCCCGAATCAGAGGACGGGACTGCTGAGGTAAGGCGCCGAGGTGACAGTGACGCTAGAACTGTGAAAGGAAACGGGGACGTGGATCCCACCCCTGCAGCGCGCGCCGAATGGGGCCCGCCCGACTCGCAGCAACGCTGGAGCTAGCCCAGCTCGCTCAACTTCCATCTCCCGCCAACTCGGAGAGCCCATGACGTTCAATGCACCTGTCAGGACTCCTTGTCCATCTCCAATCCACGAAATTAGACGCGACGATGGTTGATACCAGACATGTGATGACTACTTGATTCGTTGCAGCCTCAATCAATCCTTTTCCCTCCCCTCCGCCCGGACGAGCGCCATCATGTCTCCAGAGGCCTCCAGCAACATTCGAGTCTTTATCCGCTGGCACGACCAGACCGTCTTCGCTGGCGAGGAGATCAAATGCACCATCACTTTCAAGAACATTGCTCGCGATCCGAATCAACAACGGCAGTCCCAACGACTCGCACCTGTAGACCGACCGAGGCATGTCTCGCCCTTGCTAAGAGGCAAGTCTAGCGCTGGCTTGACCCCGCCGAACTCAGCTCAAACCCGCGGTCATCGATCTGCTCTATCCCTCAATGTACCAGTCGCTCAATCGCGAAGCCGCGCGGGCTCAGTGCCGTGGACACCATCACATCCTCCCAGTGCTCTTGAGCACCGTGGCAATGGCCACAAGAAGTCCGTTTCTATTGTGTCAATTGGTTCCACAAGCACCGTACCCGACGACAATCAGAGTAACGCTAGCTCCGTAAAGGCGCATCGGCCTGGTCGCGGTCATGCTCGGGCATCCAGTCTACAGATTGTGCCTCGGGGGGCTGCTCTGGGGCTCGGTCTCACAGCGCCTCACTCTGGTCAGTATTCTGGTTTCTGATATTGATGCAGAGTCTAATTGTCAACTCCATTACAGCATCACCGAGGCACATAAGCTCCCCTTTGTTCAACTCGACATCCGCTTCCGACACACCCCCATCCAACTCGAGATCTTCGACCGCACCGAATACCCCTGGCGTGGCAGGCTCACAACGTCCCATGAGATCGCCTTCCAACGCGCTGGCCGACTTTCGGTTTCCAATGGTCCAGTCGCCACTGTCGGACACGCAAAGCACACCGGTAGCGTCACACCATGATGGGCTATTAAGTCCAAACACCGAAGTGCCCCCAACCCTGGCTATACGGAACAAAGACGGCGTACTCACCAATCCTATCGAGCATCCTACACCAGCCATGCGAATACTTTCGACGACAAGCATGGGCGGAGGAACGCCACGCAGCAGTGGGGAGTTCTACTCAATGAGCAACAACTCTACGGAAACTCTGGCGTCTGAGTATCCAACTCAACCCACGCGGGGCCCTATGCGGCCGCCGCATTTCCGAAAGTCTTCCAACTTTGCCTCACATAACCCGAGGCAACCGGAATCGTTGATGATGGGCTACGCTCAAATTCAAGGCTCATTCACTCTGGATGGCTCACTCATCAACCTCGGGCCGTTTGAACAGGTCAAGCGAAAGGCCGTTGTCGGCGGTCAAGGAGGTGGTGTCATTGGTGTAGAGCCTGCGAAACGGGATAGCGGACTGCTTCGAAGTTTCGGTTGGGGGAGTATCAGCAACTCAATCGGAGAGCTGCTTGGAGCCGGCGAGGTCAGCAGCATCAAAGATATGCGCGGCATCGCCAGTGCCAAGTCTGTCCCTTTGCTCTCGACTCCACAGTCCATCTTGTTTGTGGACTTGAACCTGGCTCCCGGAGAGCACAAAGCTTTTGAGTATTCGTTTCAGCTCCCAAAGGGCTTACCGCCGACACATAAGGGAAAAGCAGTGAAGATCTCTTACAATCTGGTCATCGGTACGCAGCGAGCAGGCGGCTCTAAAGAGCAGCAGGTGCGCTCCGTTGAGATTCCCTTCCGGGTCCTCGGCAGTGTAAACAGCCATGGAGAAATTCTTGGTCATGATCTCATGAATCCATACATTATACTTCGCGATCAGGCGAAAATCAAGACTGTCGACAAACTGTCGACTCTCAGCGAGATCAAGAAGCTAAAATCGACCAAGACGGATGCAACGATTAATGAATTCCTCGTATATGTCGACGAGCTTCTAACAAGGCCACGGCAGGGGTCCAACGCAGGGCTGCTATCACCCACGGCATACCCCAGCTCTCGGCGTCCATCAGTGTTTGAGGAGGCGACGACGGCCACAGAGGCCATTAACCTGGCTATCATGCGCAGTAACCTGACTTCCGAGGGTCAGCAGAGCCCGAATCGCTTCGAAATTGCCCGCAACGGACAGCGAGTGGGTGTCGTTATGCTTACACGCCCCTCGTACCGTCTGGGCGAAGTTGTTACTATGGCCATCGACTTCACAGACGCCGAGATTCCCTGCTACGCGGTTCATTCCTGTCTCGAGTCGGCCGAGCGAGTCGAGCCGCATTTGGCCATCCGCTCAGAAGCCTCCATTCACCGCGTAACGCGGAAAGTCCATGTGTCTGCGTCGGAGGCGACGCTCTACTCGCGGAGAATGGTCTTCACTCCGACCATTCCTATTACTGCGACACCAGAGTTCGTCACCACAGGTATCTCATTCGAATGGAAGATCCGCGTGGAATTCGTGGTGCCGAGCCAGGAGACCGAGCTGGAGCGTGAGGCGCCTAGCACGCATCCATTACTAGAAGAAATATCCCGGGACGAGCGCGGAGGTCTAGTGCTCGTGGCAGTAGAAAACTTGGCGTGCGAGAGCTTCGAGGTTGCAGTCCCCCTGCGTGTATACGGTGCCGTGGCAACGGGGCTCGAGAAGCTGGAGCGGGACGAGGCGTTGGAGGAAGGACTCGCTGTTTGATTACGATGATGTGGTGGGATCATACACACCACACATGGTGGGTTTGCAAGGCAGGGCAGATGGAGCCAGACAGAACGAGGAGATTCATTCGCGGGCGTTGGATAGAAAAACACTTATTTTCTGGAACACGGCACCACCGTTTTTTTTTTCTTCTTCCGCGAAGCAATTTACAGAGACTTTTCACTATTCTCATCACCCCAAAAAAAAAAAAGAGTTCACCCCCCCGGTGCTGGACTGGGGGCTACATCTCTTGGTGCTCATGCCGGGAAATTCTGGTGCTCATGCCGGGACTCGAACTCGGGTGCTCTCGTATGCGCTTAGCCTGTCGTCGAGTAGGCTGGTTGGCGTAGACAATTGGTGTTGACCATGAACCACTCCACCACCCAGCCAGTTTGACCTGACCCGTCGACCTAGACGGGCGCCTGCTGGCTGGTGACTGGAATTGGGTTGAGGGGGTATATGAAGGCTTGCTTCTGGGTATTCGTGCTGTGTATTCGGGTGGTGGCGGGAAAAAGTTATCGGATGAAGGTTCGGGAGGAGGAAGGTGAGGAAGGTGCCAGGGGGTGGGTGGTGGCTGAGAACCGCTGTGTCTCTCCTTGGACGGATCGCCTTGAGCAGGCGCATTTTACAGACCTTTCTAGCTGGGCAGGACCGTCTGTTTAAGCAGGTTTGGGTGGTGGCCGTATTGCTTTCCTCGCTTTGTATGTGTGCAATGCGGCATGAGTCTCCCTCACCCTGCCTGCCTTGCTTCAAGGTCAGGCCCGACTTCATGCAGTAGACTTACATGATGAGTCATTTCAATAACTCAAATCAGCTTATTATGACTTCACTTGGGACCTGGATCGATCAAGACTGTAATAATAGCTGGTCAACGACGAGGTACACCTCGTCCTGTTGTATTCTCATTGCCCCTAACAACAAGCAGAGGGGGCAAAATATGTAAAGATGTAAACCGAAGAGAGCAGACCCTGAGGATCAAGTAGTCAAGGTTGCAAAAAGCCGCTAGAAATCGGCATCCAAATTTCCCTCGTCCTCTTTTGTTCGTATCCACGGTGCCCAAAGTAAGGTGCCTCCGGGTGTAGTGTAAATAGTATGTTATCCCCCCAATCCCCTGACCTCCCCAGACCACTCCCGCATTTCTGTCCCATTATGTCCTTGGGCACATTGAAAACTCCTAGCTCCAGTTCGCCGCCCCTGCCCCCTCAGGACTCCGTGATCTTTTAATGTATGTGGCGGATGTGTCCCTCTTTCGCAAATCAAAGGAATAAAAAAGAAAAAAAAGTCGCTACTGCTGTGTCGAAAGAGTGAAGGATAAACAAATAGACAATATTTACCGACAATTCAAAGGTAGGGGTTACGATGCCCCTTTCCGCCTGCGATATCCCCAAAGTCCAAGGCTGAGCACATCTAGAATTTGTGCTGTAAAGTAGGTCGATAATCAATCTCCCCCCAAACGCCAGGGTCCTTTTCCAGGTAACGCCGTTATATCCAGCAGGTGTTGTACAATGCGGGTTCGGTCGGAAGGATTGATGTAATAATACAATGAGAGTATGTTAAGGGAATGATGTAGAGGTGGTTTCACCGCCGGCAGTGTCAGGCCGCACGGCCAGGAGCTCTTCTTCGCGCTCCTCGCTGGGAGTTTGTACTTCTCTCCCTTGAAAGGTATTACGTAGCTTTTCGTCAAGCATGGAGGCCAGGCGCTCCTCATACTGGTCTAGGAGACCACTCAAGAGGGCTGAGTCGTGCATGGCCTTGGTTCTCGTAGCCCTGTCGCCGAGGGCGGCCGCTGTCAGGCGCAACTCTTGGTCGATTTCAAAGATGACGTCTTCGCTGAGTGGCTCCGTAGAGGAAAGCTTCTTTCTATAAGCCCTCAACGTACGACAAGCCTGCTCTGTAGCCATGTTCAGGCTGCCAAATCCGCGCAAGTTGGGCGAGCTCTTCTTCGGCGGCAGGCCCAAAGACGGAAGCGAGGGTCGCCTAGATGCCCTCGACTTCGGACTGATGGGCGGACTGCCAGACCCGGACGAGCGTCGTGATGGTGTGTCTTCAGCTAGCGGACTGCTTTGCATTCCTGTTTTGGGCGTGCTCACGCTGTTGTTGCTCAAACCGTACCGAGAAGTCCGACTTCGAATGGTCCTGGGCGGAGATCGTCGGCCACCCTGAGCAGAGGCTGGACGCTGAAACTCGGCCAGCTCTGCTTTGGAGAGAACTCGTCGAAGTGGTGGTCTGGTGGAAGCGGACCCGTCTTTCATCGGAGATGGATCTCTACTTGTAGATAAAAGAGTTGTGTTGTCCGTCTCCATAGACCAAAGCATCACGGTCCCGTCAGATCCTACACTGATGACCCTCTGGCACCCATCTTCATCATCGGTCAACGTGACGCCGTTGATAGCCTCTGTGTGGCCCCATTCTCTGTCTACAAAGTGGCCCGAATGAGCATCGTAAAGACGGACGGATTTGTCCGTATTCGATATGCCCAGCAAGAAGCCCGACTCTCTCCCGGCAGGCTGAGTGAAAACTAGAGACTCCAGGATAGCAGTCTCAGCTCCGCTCTCATCAACGCACTTGAAGCAGTTAAGAAGTCGGCCATTGGAAAGATCGTATTGGCAAATTGACCGATCCAGCATGGAGACGAATACAGTCCTCTCATCCTGACCTAGGGCGAACGACGTTGGCGCTGCTTTCAGGGTGTTTGCCCTAGAAGGAAGAGCCGCAAGCTCGTCTTCCTCATCCTCTTTGCAGACTATGTCATAAGTTTGCAGTGTCCTATCCATGGAACAAGTCATTATCTTGTCCTCAGATTGGACTAGCACTTGAACAACCCTAGCAGCGAATTCCAGCGTCTGGAAGTGCCGGAACTCTCCACCCGACGTGCGGTGAAATAGTTGCGCAGTCCGGTCTCTGCCCCATGTAGCCAGAAGGAACTTGTTGTCGTCTTCATAGATGCTGACACCCTGACAGTCGGACGAATGAGCTTTCGTCTCAAGCAAGCATTCCTTTGTGGTCAGGTCAATTACCCTCAGAACACCAAACTTGTCGGCTGCTACAAGCATCTTCCCAGCTCTAGTCGCTCGGACCACATTGAGCTGATTGACGGGGTCCATCTCGCTCTCAGGGATGACCTGTTCAATGGGCACATCTAGGGAGCACTTGATTTTGCCCTTCATGTCCCAGAAAATGACCTTGCCAGACCCGGACCACGTGAAGAAATCTGCCCCTTGGTCGTTGGGCTTTGACATTGATTGAATGCCCAAAATCTGGTCTCCGTGTCCCGGTATAGAAACGTGTGACGGGTCGTCCACCGTTTGGCCCGGCTGATAGCTCGAGCTCCAAATATCTACGGTGTGCTTCTCATCGATGGTTACTAGGTTTTCTGTCAAGAAACCCATAGCTACCAGACCAGCAGGCGCGACGCTTTTCGATAGAACACCGTCTGGGAGACTCTCGAGGACGGCCTTGACGCTGAGAGTCGCGAATTGGCCCTCTTTTCCTGAGAGATATGCAGTGGCATGTCTGATGGTGATGGAAGTGATCGGAAAGTCGACAGTGAGTGACTTGACGAGCTTTGTCTGTTTGCCGTCATCCTCCACCACACAGACGTCGCCAGCCTCTGAGCAGATGATTATGCTCGTTTCGTCGACGACAGCCGCGCAGTTGAAGGTACCATCCAGGAGCGATCCGAGTAGGACGTTGCGACCGTTGAGGACTCTCTGGGGTGTGGAAATGCCCTCATTGAACCTCGTCTTCAAAGGGGAAGAGGTCTGAGTCTCCTCGACTTTCCAAATCTTGATGTGTCGCACACCGAGCGTGACAAGGCTGCAGCCCATCCAGACCATGCCCTTAATAGTGGAGGTACACTTGTTTTGCTGGTACAACTTGGCAGCACCCGTACGAGGGTCGATTTTCCAGGTGTAGAGGAAGCCGTCGTTGGCCGTACCCAAAGAAGCAAGCCACCTGGTATCTGCCGACCATGCCACTGCATTCACACCAAACCCATGCTCGCTGATTGAGACCAATGGAACGTCAGATGATGCGTCCTCGAGGTTGAAAATGAGCACGCGAGGAGCGTAACCCGTCTCTCCAACTGCCAAATACCGCCCATCTCTACTCAGCGCAAGGCACGTCGCAGCCTTGATGCGCTCGCGGCTGGTCCATGTTGATCCCGGAGAGTCGTTCCAACTTTGCGATTCCCGGACCCCAATCGCGGCGCGATTCCTGCTATCGTTGGCCTTGGGCGTGGAAGGCGCTGAGTAGTTGTTCAGCAAAGTTGTCGAGCCATAAACGGGTGTCGCAGTCGGGCGGGCTCGGTAGAAGCGCTGGGCATAGTGTTCACCGTCTACATCGACAACAACGACGGCGCCGCCTGCTATGTAGGCAAAGGAGGAGTTTACGGTATCGAAACCCGTTGGCGAAGCGCAGGTGGTGCCAATGACTCGTTTGAGGGAAAGCCGGGACTCGTGAGGTAGGCGCCCTCGGATTGGTGTTCGGTTAGATCGTTGTTGAAGGTAAGGGGAGTTGCCCGGCGTCAGTCTGAGCCGGTTCGTGGGAGTCGCGCTCATTTTATCGCCATTGGCTCGCGAGCGTTGTCGCAAGATTAATCTGAGATTACGAGTTATCGGAGAAGAATTACGTCGCAGAGGTCACTCCCAGGTAGGTAGGTCAGTGACGTGATTGAGAATGCAAAAGAAAAAGTGTTTGTCGCGGAATTCGCTATCGCAAGTCCAAATGAGAGTATGGCAAGGTAGGTGTAGGTAGGAGTCGGCAAAATTAGTGCGGTAGGCGCGCCGAGCGGTGTAAGTCGAAAAGGTGAAAAAGTTGGTGTCTAAGTGGCTGATGGAAAGCTGCGAAAGACGTCAATTTCTGTGTCTCAGTCGATTGGTCGAGACAATCGATTGTGCATGAAGAAGGAGGGAACGTACAGTGACATCAGGCGGGCAAACGTTCCCCAAGCCCTGCAGGAATTAATGGGGTGTTCCAAAAAAGAAAGAAAGGGTGCAGGTATCCGAGCGTGAAGAAGAAGAAGGAAGGACGCGATGTGCCGAGAAAAGTGAAGAGGTTTTGCGGATGGACGGTTTTCCAACGTCTAGCAAGCAGCAGCGAGCAGGTCGGCTGTCAATCCTCAGGGTTGGAGCCGGTTGGGCGAAGGAGCAGTCTGCCGGGAAGGTGGTGGTGGTGGTGGGAAGTGATGTGCGGTGCCTGGGTTGCCTTGCCCTGTGCTTGTCGGTCCCGTGGGAAGGACGGTCGCCTGTTGGTCGCAGCTTGCTGCAGGTAGGAGCGGGAGAGCTGAGGTGGGAGAGCAGAACCTGGAATGGGGTTGCAGCCAGTTCGAAGCACCAATGGAAATGTGGGAGAGCATGAGAGGAGAACATCGGCAGGCGGGGGGTATTGAAACCAACTGGGTCGATTTGCTCTTTTTCTGAATAAACCCTGCCACTCTGTTCCCTAAACGGGTCACTCTAACCCACCAGCTGGAGGGGTTATTGAAGGGCGGTCTGGCGGGAAGGATCCAATCACAAATCTCGTCACACCGAAGCTTCACCTCACATTAGTACGGATAGGTAGTACCTTACTTCGCACACTTTCTACTAATCGTTTCTATAACCGTCTCTACGACAGCCAGACATTCCTATATAGCGGTCATACCTGAATCATTCGTGTTACTCGGTCGCTACCGTTGACGTACCAACTGCAATCCATACGCAAGAGAGAACAAAGGAATTCTTCGAACGGGGCGTGTTTCACAAGACTACGATGAAGAAGTCCACCATTCCTTTGTTCTCTTGATGTCATAGCCCAGGTGATTTCCACAAGCACGTCTCACTGGTCATTCTCTAGCCACAAATTTTTCAAAAGAGACAGCCATTGAGCTTGATCTTAAGAGAGAAAGCTCGGTAGGAGTTCCGAGAGTCCAAGCCCAGCGCCAGTGACCCCCAACTTCTGGCTCTCCGTCTATCCGTGATCCCGTTTCAATTGACAGGAAGCCCTGAGGGAGAACGCCCCCTGCCCCGAAAAACCAAACATCCATACGTCTGGCCGTCAGCCATCAGCCATCAGCCCAAACATCATTTACCCCCGCGTCCGTTCAGAAAAAGGGGTCCGGCCGTTCTTTACTATTCATATTCAAGCACAGATTGAACGAGGCCCCAACATCGAACGGCACACGTCCCTTAAAGACTTCAGATCTCTCACATCCAAACCCTTGACACACCAACACTGACAACGCACCCATAGCTAGCATACGCGTCTCCTGCCACCTGCAAAAACGACTTTTGTGTATTCAATCTTTAGGTGCCGTCTTACCTCTCTCTCTCTCACATAAACCGTGCGCCCGCGCCCGCTTCACTAGGTCACAAGATACGTGACATTCATTATACGACTGGGACGCGGCGAGTCGGAACCGGCTCATGGAAATGAGCTGCTGCCGGGGGCCCCTGTCGCTCTTTAATGCTCCCACCGCAGTGATTGACCGCCGATGTCGTAACCAAGAATCTCTCCCCTGGGGCTCCCTCGGGCTGGTGGTAATTAGATCCGAACGGGTGCGACGCAAGACGTGCTCACTCCGCGTTCAGATATGTGACAACCGATTTTGATATCAGTCGCCGTCACTCTACTCCGTATTCAATGCTGCCGTATCACGCCATGTTGAGAAAGAGAATGAGCCGCGTTTCTGTACCGCGCAAAGCCAACGACGATCCTTATGAAGCGTATCAAAAACTCCCGAAAAAATCTCATTGACATCCATGCCGCAGAGGGACTCGGCGACTCGCTAATCGATCAAACTATCGACCAAATTATTTCCCTCCTAGTCGATCATCCTCATCTCACTATAACCTTAAAAAGGCTCTTCGTTACCCCCATGTCCCATAACACGAAGCCAGCCAGTGTCGCTGTAGTCCTTTTTTGTGATTTATTTTCGTAGATGCCACTGCGGCCCTTTGTTTTTGTTTTTTTCTCGTTACATCGTCGCAAGGACTGAGAAACGCTCGCTGCCGTCTTTGCGGCTTTTTGACAATTATGCCATCTCACCATCGACAGCCTCAAAAAGCGCGATAGGCACGCCATGGCCCGGCGCGCCGACGATCTCGGCCCTGATGACCTGCGCGTTCCAATCTCCGCGGTACTCGAGCCTGTCAAACTTTTGCAGAATTCTCGCCACTGGGTGCGTGTTAGTATTTGCTCAGCAATATCACCATATTCACAGCACATGGCCCGAACGGAAAGATGAAAAGTTGCAGGAGAGGACAAGGACGGGCACTCACTCGTATAAGCCATCTCCGTGTTGGCAAAGTTTTGTCCAACGCAAATTCTCGGACCACCATTGAACGGCACATACTGCCATGGCTTCGGCTGCCAGTGCTCCCACCGTTCGGGGCTGTAGATGGCCGGGTCCGCAAACGTCTCTGACACTTCAGGATATAGATCCCGCCTTCTCTGCATGGCGAGCGTGCTGTACACAACTGAATCTCCCTCGATCACGGCGATGTCGGGGTTGCCATTCCTGCCAGGCAAGGTCGTAGTCGTCAACGCGGAGCGCACATTGAAAGGCACCGCTGGGTACAGACGCAGAGTCTCCTGGAGGCAGTTGGTCAAGTACTTCATGCTCTTGAGGTCCTCGTAGGTCGGTGCCCTCTTGGGTCCCAAGGTCGTCAGGATCTCAGCGCGCAGCTTGGCATATGTGGCAGGGTAGCGGGAAAGCTCGTAGAGAGTCCACGAGAGCGTTGCAGCAGTGGTATCACGACCAGCGAGGAGGATAGCAACGAGCTGGTCGCGGATGACCTTGGGGTCGCGCGTGAAACGAGCAATGTTGTGAAGGAAAGTGAAATCCTTGTCAGACTTGGAGAGCTTCTCGAGCTCTGATGGCGGCAAGGCCAGAGCCTCTTGGATGAAAGGATGGATAAACTCCTCAATAACCTTGATGCCGCGATGGTAAGTTCCGTGGGGCAAGATGTTCTCAAAGGGTCTGGCACTGGGTCAGCTCGGCTGATTCTGTTCACTTTCGTCAAGGACACATACGCCATGATTGTGTAAAACATTTGATAACTCTGGACCTCGTTGAATGCGTGTGCAAAGTGATGCTTCGGGCTGTCAGGTAGATTAGCATCGCGTCAGGGCCAATTGTATGTATGAGTGGTCTACTCACTTGCCAAGACTGTTAACACCATGTCCAAGGAGGAAATCGGTCGTCACATCAAGCGTCATACGGTAGAATAGATCCGAAATATCAAAGGTGACTCCTGACGCCGGGAACTTGTCCATCATGATGTTGGTCCACTTGTCAAAGATGTGTAAGTCGCTAACTCGATCCTTGATGAACATAGGCCGGATCAAGCTCCGGTTATCCTGCCACGTCTTTCCATCCGTAGTGAAGATGCTGTCGCCCAGGAACGGAGACCAGACTTGATGAAACATGGGCCCCTTTCCAAAGTCGGCAAACTTGGAGGTGAGGACAGTCTTGATGTGCTCCGGCTCTCTCGTGATGAGGAAGCGGAGCTTGCCCGTGAAGCCAATCTCGACTGTGTTCGGAGACTCAGGGGTAGCGACGCTGAAAAGAGTGTTGAATCCCTCGAGGAGCTGGTGCCTAAGTTGATAGCGTCCAATCCGCAAGAATACCGGAATGGCTTCGCACTAATTAGCCGCCCGATCTTTGGTGCGGGGAGAGGACCCTTCTCATTGTTACCTGTAAAGGGGTTGGAAGCGATGACTGGAGCTCTCACACCACCAGACTTTCTGAGGAGATACTCCATTCTAACCCTGAAGAACACCAGAAGGAGAAGGTAGGCTCCAAAGATGGAGCCTCCGATGTAGAGCGGGTTAGCCGCCGTCAAGCTCTCGAGTAAACCCATCTTGATGGAAGTGCGAGTTGAATCTCCCAGCAATTACACTAAGTGAGGGTTCCTGTAATGACAGGTGTCTCCGGGACAGGTGAAGAGGTGGTTTTGAGGAGAAGAAAGGTTTTAGAGATCGAATTGCAAATTCAAGACTGTAGAATTTCTGCAACTAGGGACAACCAATGTTTAGCACCAAGAGGCTGGGCAGGAGGTAGGAGCAGCATCGTCTTAACTGAGTTGTTTCAATCCTCACCGAGCGGCACATGTAAGTGTGCTTGCTCAGGCCGCGGTTAGGTTCGACCCTCCACTTGGGGTATGCCTTCACTTGTTTCGTTTGGACTTGGTGGTCATCATCTTCAGGTGAGAAGACGATTGGCTAGAAGACCTAGCTCATGCATCGTGATCGAGCGTCTTACACGGACCATCCCAGGATCTGCCATGCAACTGCACTTGTCTCAATGTCACTAAACCAGCGTCAATCGTCTGGGCTGCCCGTACGTTCCGACACTTACAACGCAGAAGGTGAGCTGTAAAGGCGGGGGGACTCGGCCAAGCCCCCGCATGACACTGGCCAATGTCTCCGTTGAGTCTAAACGGCTTCCGATGCGAGGACAGGACGGTGTCACATCACGTCCGGATGCTTGTTTGGCATGCAAGCCCAAAAACAATTCAGGATGGCAAAATAGGACCAGGGCTTTGGAGGAAGCCTTCCAATGCTTAATCTCGAGGAT